CGTGTCTCTCCCTCCCGGCGTGTGTCTATCTCCCCTGGCGTGTGTCTATCTCCGGCGTGTCTATCTCCCCGGCGTGTGTCTATCTCCCCGGCGTGTGTCATCTCCCCCCGGCGTGTGTCTATCTCCGGCGTGTGTCTATCTCCCCGGCGTGTGCCCCCGGCGTGTGTCCATCTCCCGGCGTGTGTCTATCTCCTCCTGGCGTGTGTCTCTCCCTCCTGGCGTGTGTCTCCATCTCCCCGGCGTGTGTCCACTTCCCCGGCGTGTGTCTATCTCCCGGCGTGTGTCTATCTCCTCCCTGGCGTGTCTATCTCCCCCTGGCGTGTGTCTATCTCCCCCGGCGTGTGTCTATCTCCCCCGGCGTGTGTGTCTTCTCCCTCCTGGCGTGTGTCTATCTCCCGGCGTGCTCCACCCCCGGCGTGTGTCTATCTCCTCCGGCGTGTGTCTATCTCCCCGGCGTGTGTCTATCTCCCCCGGCGTGTTCATCTCCCGGCGTGTGTCTATCTCCCCGGCGTGTGTCTATCTCCCTCCCGGTGTCGTTATCTCCTCCTGGCGTGTGTCTATCTCCCTCGGCGTGTGTCTATTCCCCGGCGTGTGTCTATCTCCCTCCTGGCGTGTGTCTATCTCCCCCGGCGTGTGTCATCTCCCCCGGCGTGTGCTCTGTCTCCCCTGGCGTGTGTCTATCTCCTCCTGGCGTGTGTCTATCTCCCTCCTGGCGTGGCCCCCCGGCGTGTGTCTATCTCCCTCCGTGTGTCTATCTCCCCGGCGTGTGTCATTCCTCCCGGCGTGTCTCCCGGTGTCTATCTCCTCCTGGCGTGTCTATCTCCCGGCGTGTGTCTATCTCCCCCGCGTGTGTGCTATCTCCCCGGCGTGTGTCTATCTCCCCGCGTGTGTCTCTCCCCCCGGCGTGTGTCTATCTCCCCCGCGTGCTCATCTCCCCCCGGCGTGTTCCCCCGGCGTGTCTATCTCCCGGCGTGTGTCTATCTCCCGGCGTGTGTCTATCTCCCGGCGTGTGTCTCTCTCCCGGCGTGTGTCTATCTCCCCGGCGGTCTATCTCCGGCGTGTGTCTATCTCCCCGGCGTGTGTCATCTCCATCTCCCCGGCGTGTGTCTATCTCCCCGGCGTGTGTCTATCTCCCGTGTCATCTCCCCGGCGTGTGTCTATCTCCTCCTGGCGTCTATCTCCCCGGCGTGTCTATCTCCTCTGGCGTGTGTCTATCTCCCTCCTGGCGTGCTATCTCCCTCCTGGCGTGTGCTCATCTCCCCGGCGTGTGTCTATCTCCCGGTGTGTGTGTCTATCTCCCCGGCGTGTGCTATCTCCCCTGGCGTGTGTCTATCTCCCTGGCGTGTGCTCATCTCCCTCTGGCGTGTGTCTATCTCCCCGGCGTGTGTCTATCTCCCCGGCGTGTGTCTATCTCCCCGGCGTGTGTCTATCTCCCCGGCGTGTGTCTATCTCCCCGGCGTGTGTCTATCTCCCCGGCGTGTCTCCCTCCAGGTCCTTCTCCCCGGCGTGTTCCCCCGGCGTGTTCTATCTCCCCGGCGTGTGTCTATTCCTGGCGTGTCTGTCTCCCTCCACCTCCCGGCGTGTCTATCTCCCGCGTGTGTCTATCTCCTCCTGGCGTGTGTCTATCTCCCTTCCCTCCTAGCGCTTCTTTTCCCTGGCGCCTATCTCCCGGCGTGTGTCTATCTCCCCCGGCGTGTGTCTATTCCTGGCGTGTGTCTATCTCCCTCCTGTGCTCATCTCCCCGGCGTGTGTCTATCTCCCTGGCGTGTTCATCTCCTGTGTCTATTCCCTCCGGCGTGTGTCTCTCCCTCCTGGCGTGTGTCTATCTCCCCGGCGTGTGTCATCTCTCCGCGTGTGTCTATCTCCCCGGCGTGTGTCTATCTCCCCCGGCGTGTGTCTCATCTCCCCGGCGTGTGTCTATCTCCCGGCGTGTCTCTCTCTCCCTCCGGCGTGTGCTCTCTCTCCCTCCCAGCTGTCTCTTTCTCCCGCCGTGTCTCTCCCTCCTGGCGTGTGCTTCTCCTTCCTGGCGTGCTTCTCTCCCTCCGGCGTGTTCTCTCCCTCCTGGCGTGCTCCTCTCCTCCTGGCGTGCTCCTCTCTCTCCCCAGCGTCTCTCTCCCTCCTGGCGTGGCTCTCTCTCTCTCCTCCCTCCTGGCGTTCCTCTCTCTCTCCCTCCTAGCTGCCCTCTCCCTCCTGGCGTGCTCTCCCTCCTGGCGTGTTCTCTCTCTCCCTCCTAGCTCTCTTCTCTCCCTCCTGGCGTGTGGCTCTCTCTCTCCTCCTGGCGTGTCTCTCCCTCCTCTGCTCCTCTCTCTCTCTCTTCTCTCCCTCCTAGCGTCTCTTTTCCCGTTACGTGCTCTCTCCCTTCAGGCGTGTGTTCTCTCCTCCGGCGTGTTCTTCTCCTCCAGGCGTGTGTCTCTCTCCCTCCGGCGTGTCTCTCTCTCCCTCCCTCCTACATCGTGTCCTCCTCCTCAGTCGTTGAGTTTACTGATCTGGCACCTGTGGACTGAGCTTTTCCTACGTCAGGTTGTTTGTATTATTACAGTGCCATGTTTGTCTTATTACAGTGCCATGTTGTTTGTCTTATTACAGTGCCATGTTGTTTGTCTGATTACAGTGCCATGTTGTTTGTCTGATTACAGTGCCATGTTGTTTGTTTGATTACAGTGCCATGCTGTTTGTCCTATTACAGTGCCATGTTGCTTGTCTTATTAGAGTGCCATGTTGCCTGTGTCGTACCTAATGCGTGTACAGTGAGTGGTGTGTGTACAGTGGGTGGTATGTGTATAATGTTTGATGCGTGTATAGTGTGTTGTGTGTATAGTGTGTGTGGTGTGAATCATGTGTGGTGTGTACAGAGTGATATGTATTGTGTGTACAGTGCCTAGTGTGTGATGTGTGTATTATGTGTGTAGTGTTTTTAAAGCGTGGTATATATATATATAGTGTGTGATGTGTACCGTGTATGGTGTATATAGTGTGTAGTGTGCCTAGTGTTTGGTGTGTGTGTGTATAGTGTGACTAGCCTGTGATGTGTATAGTGTGTGGTGCCTGTATAGTGTCGCCGGCAAAGTGCAATGTGTGGAGTGTCAGGTGTGTGGTGTTCTATATAAAGAAAAATATGTCGGGTGTCACTTTGTGTCAAGTGTAGCGTGGGTGAGTGTCGAGTGTTGCGGTGTGTCAAGTGCAGCGAGTGTTGGAGTGTCGGGGTTCGCGGTGTGTCAAGTGTAGCGAGTGTAGGAGTGTCGGGTGTGGAGACGCGGGAACAATGAAGGTCGAACACACACACACACACACACACACACACACACACACACACACACACACACACTGGTCCGGGATAAAGCATCTGGACCATAATAACAAAAAATGTAATTTCGCATATATGCACAGAGGCGGGTTGGATTATGCTAATTTCTGTGTCATTGCAGCAGTGTGTGTGTGTGTGTGTGTGTGTGTGTGTGTGTGTGTGTGTGTGTCGCACCACTACCTCCATCGCCATCACCACCATCTCTACCACGAGATTCAATTACTTTTATACTATAATCACTACCGCCAACACTTCCATCATTATCACCACCGTCACCACCATCACCGTCACCACCATCACCACACACACACCTGGCTCGTGAGTCAGCTGTCACACCTCACCTGTTCTTATTATAACACAGGTTTGTCACTACCCTCACCTGAACACATACAGCAACAGGTACACGCGGCCTCATTAGTAGACACGCCAAACAACGGCTCACTTTACCGGGCTAAATAAATATCAGGACCCGAGATTAGAACCGAAGCTGAATTTCCTAACTGATTTCTAGGCTTAGGTTAAGTTGGATTTATTAAGGTTGAATTAGGTTATGTTTGACTATATTAGGATGGGTCTGGCCAGTTTAGGTTTAGTTAAGTATATCCTCTTAGGTATACCTTGTTAGGTATACCCTGATATGTATATCCTGATAGGTATATCCTGGCAGGTATATCTCGATAGGCATATCCTGTTAGATATATCCTAATAAGTATATCATAATAAGTATATCCTAGTACAGTATTTATATCCTGATAGGTATATTCTGATAGGTATATCCTGTTAGGTATATCCTGTTAGGTATATCCTGGTAGGTATATCCTGGTAGGTTATCCCCGTGATAGCCATGAGCCCTGGGTGGTGATCCTTGACGTGACTTACAATAAAGTCGGTTCAAACGAACCACTGTGTTGGAGTGGTCGAGCCCCTTCATAAATTCTCCGACTCGTACGCGGCCAAGAGGGGGAGTGGGAAAGGCAAGGGGGAAGGGAGGAAGGGAAGAAGGGGGTTGTGGGATGGGCAGGGAGGAAGGGAAGAAAAGTAGGTGTATGGGAAGGGCAGGTAGGAAAGGGGAGAAGGGTGGGGGAAAAGTATAGGAAGAGCGGGGAGGAAAGGGAGCGGTTATATTTGTAGGGCAGGGAGGAAGGGGTATAGAAAGGGCAGGAAGGAGCGAGTGTGGGAAAGACAGGGAGGGAGGAAGAAGAGGGAGGGGTGGAAGGGAATAGGGTGAAGAGAGAGGGGGGAAGAAAGGTAGATGGGAGACGGAGGGGAATGAGGTGTTGAAGGGGAAGAGGTGAAGTTGGCGGGAATGGAGGACGGCAGGGTGGGGGGGGTGAAGGGGGATTTAGATGGCCATCTCAACAGTGTAATGTAGTTGGGTATTTCTAGACGACAACAATCAGTATGGCGATGTGAAAAAAAAAACATCCACAACAGTAAATATACATTGTACTTCATGTTTACTTACAAATTATCACGTTTAAGAAATTACTCACACATCTGTTAAAATTCAATATTCTTATTTTTCATACACGTCAACGTAGAGCATAATGTCCATTTTTTTATCACATACTTGTCGACATAAGTGAGGTATGTTAACACGTTCACACCGCGTGGTGAAGCTGCACCAGTGTTATAAACAACTGCTGTAGGCCGAGCAACAACAGGAACCAATTACTCTTTTTCAAGCGACACAAACCTGGTCTGAGTGTGGGACTCATGTGTGGGCTTGACGGTCGCCATGGACACTGTATACTAAGCCTTCGGTACATATAGTGGCAGCGTAACAGACACTGCATACGACCGCTTTCAATTCCTCAACTGTTCATAGGTTATATAGTACCTACCAGGATATACCGACTAGGATATATCGTATACCATGATATTTACATTTAGGTGTCATGGGGCTGTTGCAAGATCGAACCAGAGATCCTGATGGCAGATAATTAGATCTGTATCCTCTCAGCCAGTACACCCCTAAATCTAACCTAACCTAACCTAACCAAAACTGCTCTACGACAGTTAAGTCAATTTTGTGTCAACCACTTTAAAAAAAATAAATACAGACAAACAGTACATAGCGGAATATGTTGTGATGCTACTCCACCACGGCCCGACGCCCGTCCCTCAGTTACCTCTTAAACCGATCATTCCAGGCTCAGGTCCGGGTAGTTGTGTTTTGACGGCACAACTCGTGGCAGTACCATGATGGGTTTAGAATGCCGGTAATTGAATATCATTTACGAGTGATGAAGAGGCCGTCTCACCCTGACTATAGCCAGTACAGTGGAAGTTACTGGGGCATACGGCAAAGTTATATCCAAATTTACTCTCTCTAGCTAACACTTTCCAATTTGTATTTTGAAAATTCATTCAGACATGTGCCGACGAAGGTTAAATTATATAATGAGAAACAACTGAAAAACTCCCACAAGCGAGAAAACAGTGTCAGTCAGTTCGTGAATAGCGATAAGCCAGAAAACACGCTGACTAAAGCATCAAGCAATGGTACAACCTACGGACACATCACGCCAAGGTTCACTTAGCCCGTGTTAATGACTTTACACAAACTCAAGCACTTATCAGTCTGGGACAATAATAACGACTCCCAGTACTGCCTCAGAGGTGCCTGTTAGGGAGATGTTGAGAAGACCGCCACAAGCAATCGACCACGCCTCAGAAGACAAGTCACCAAAAGTGGTCATAGAGTCAGACGTAGGGTGAGCAGGCGAATGGACTGATTACATTTTAATCACTTTTAATTAAATGACAGAGGCATATTCAATCTAATGGAGAAAAACGAGATATTTTTTAATTGAGTCCGACGAATACTGATCGAATGACTAATACCAAATACAGGTTACTCTCCAACACTCCTGTACTCCTCAAGTCACTCTCCAACACTCCTGTACTCCTCAAGTCACTCTCCAACACTCCTGTACTCCTCAAGTTACTCTCCAACACTCCTGTACTCCTCAAGTTACTCTCCAACACTCCTGTACTCCTCAAGTCACTCTCCAACACTCCTGTACTCCTCAAGTCACTCTCCAACACTCCTGTACTCCTCAAGTTACTCTCCAACACTCCTGTACTCCTCAAGTTACTCTCCAACACTCCTGTACTCCTCAAGTTACTCTCCAACACTCCTGTGCTCCTCAAGTCACTCTCCAACACTCCTGTACTCCTCAAGTCACTCGCCCCTCCTTCTTGGTGTTTATGTGCCCCTTTCCTTCGCCTCGGACAAAGATGCATAGGAAGGATGATAAGCGTTAGATAGTCAGGGAAACTACTCATTCTTCGTAACCTCGTGTTGCTTTACTAATGTGTGTTATTATCATACGTTATTAACTCACTCTCTCCGTCACTCATACTCGCTCTTTCTCTCTTTTAACCCTTTAACACTCACTCACTCACTCACTCACTCACTCATAAATCTATAACAGTAATATTTCCCTCCTTCACTTCCTCACACTTTGTTTCCTTCCATCGCAGTCGTCTCAGAGTCTTCGGCGGAAAACAGGCAGAAATTTATGTCTATATGGGTGATGGTGTAGTAGTCTCAGAGATCTTCTTCCTTCCTAGGGCTCGTGGGGGGTACATTCCTTCGTGACTATACAAGTGAAACAAGAACAGGAGTTTCCGCATTTGTATTTGTCTTTACATAAATATGAAATTTTGATGCTCTACAAAAAAACATGAAAGACAATCATGATGTTATGAATTTTATAATAACTGATACGATAAGTTATGTATATTGTAGGTATCTATATACTGATAGATTTTGTGATATTTATGACTAAAAAAAATTGCAAAACTGAAAGAAATGAGAACAACGAAAAATATATGAAGCAATTTGAACTTTTTTGAGTGTCGTTAAAGAAAGTTCTGGTGTCCTGTAGAGTCTACGTAATGTTAACGAAGGTCTTTTGGAAAGTATAAATATAAATTTCTATACAGACGAAACGAGTCAATGTTGTTGGGTACCGGGGACCCACCCTCTCCCAGGGACCCGCCCACTCCCAGGGACCCGCCCACTCCCGGGGACCAGCCTACTTCTAGGTATCCGCCCCCTCCCGGGGACCTGCTCACTTCCGAGGACCAGCCCACTCCCGGGGACCCGCCCACTCCCGGGGACCGGCCCACTCCTAAGTACCTGCCCACCCCAGGGACCCGCCCACTCCCTGCCCACAGGACCCGCCCACTCCCAGGACCCGCCTACTCCCAAGGACCCGCCTACTCCCAAGGACCCACCTACTCCCAGGGACCCGCTCACCTTGGGCCCTGCCTACTCCTAGGGACCTGCCCACTCCTAGGGGACCCGCCTACTCCCAGGACCCGCCACTCCTAGGGACCCGCCTACTCCCAGGACCTCCTAGGGACCCGCACTCCCAGGACTGGACCAGGGACCCGCTTATTCCCAGGGACCCGCCTACTCCAAAGGACCCACCTACTCCCAAGGACCCGCCTACCCAGGACCTGCTCACCCAGGGCCCTGCCTACTCCTAGGGACCTGCCCACTCCTAGGGACCTGCCTACTCCCAGGACCCGCCACTCCTAGGGACCCGCCTACCCCAGGACCTGCCTACTCCCAGGAACCTGCTTACTCCCAGGGACCCGCCTACTCCAAAGGACCCGCCTACTCCCAAGGACCCGCTTATCTCCAAGGACCCGCCTACTCCCAGGGACCAGGCCGCCCATAAACCCACCCACCACCCACGCCTGTAGACAAACTGAAAAATGATGACCAATAAACGTACACAGGCGGAAAAAAATAGTAAGAGGAAAACTCGCATGTTTATGGGAGGCGGAAGATTGGGAGGAGGAGGAGGGAGGAGGAGGAGGAGGAGGAGGAGGCACGCACAAGAAATTTGGGAAACAAATTGAAGGAAATATTATTTTTTCCGCCAGGGACTGTCTCTTATCCTCTCTGTCCTCCTCCTCCTCCTCCTCGAGGAAATATTATTTTTTCCGCCAGGGACTGTCTCTTATCCTCTCTGTCCTCCTCCTCCTCCTCCTCGACCATCTTCTCCTCGTCTTCGTCCTCCCGAATACTCAAAATATCTCCCACTAATACTGGATATATCCCTGCAAGGTAGATATAGTGGAGGGAGGGGGATTAAGATATACCCCCTCCGACATCTACATCCTCGAGACGCCAGCCAGCCAGCCAGCCAGCCAGCCAGCCAGCCAGCCAGCCAGGTACCAAAATGCAAATATCACAGGTAGGTGGCCTGACGTGCTATTCTGGGAGGGAAGAGAGTGAGGGCTGGACTTCAAGAATATTGTTTTGATATATTAATCTAATCGTTGGTTTGAAATTATTTATAGTTTTTTTCTTTTTTTTTTTACAGAGGATTGTGTCAGATGAATTATTTAAAATAAATACGAATATTATCTACATTATTTTGTCCACATCACCTGCAGGATCAAGACCAAATCACCTGTATAATTATGAGGACATTAAGTGAATAATCTTTAGGTATTACCATAATGTAAACACACTTAACTATAAGACGTATACATAATACACACACACACACACGGCTATATGATGTACTCATGGTCGATCACAAGATAAGACACACTATGGGTGAAGACAACAGCAGACAACAACATGACTTGCACACACTAGGTAAAAACATGTCTTACCCCGAGGCTCCTATGTCAAAAGCTTTAAGCATTTTACATTAACTTAAATCATCTATTACGGCTCCAGTGATCTAGGTAAGGTATAAGTTTTTACTCAAATGTTGAACTTACACAGAAGTAATACAAAAACCACCTATATTATCCCCGTTATCTGTGTGTGTGTGTTATTCAGCTGATGGATAAAGGCCTTCCCTACAGTCCCCGACCCTCTTGTACCACGCAGCACCTCCAAGTAGTATCTTCGTTATTGCTCTACTGATCATTTGTCAGGTAAAGTAATTCTTCAACTTTGTATCAATATCCCGTAATCCGTACCTTAGTTTGGCGTCTTCCACCATTAGTTTATTTTCCTATCCTGAAGTGATCATTCCTAACTTACATCTTTCTTTACGTATCTTTGAGTTTATATACACTTTCATATACTTTCATTAGTCAATCGTCTTATTTTATGTACCCAAGTAAATACACGTTACTCGGTTTTTCGCAATGGTCGAATAATTTTATTTATATGAAGAAACTAACACGTTAATTTTTAATAATGACTTCAAGTATCACACACACACACACACACACACACACACACACACACACACACACACACACACACACACACACACACAATTACTTATGTATATATAAACCTGAATAAGTAAACCCCTCCTAATTAGCTCTTACGTCAATAAGCACGGTGCAGGTCCTCAACTACTATTTATATCACTTGTGGCAGTAGCAGGTTACAATGGTTCCTTGAATACTTACGTTCAACAGTGTTCACCGTTAAGGTGTTCGTGTAGATGAAGGTCGTTGTTCAGTGTTCCTACACACATCCACACCTGTTATGGTCTGTGAGGATAATTCACGTCTGGGCTCAACCAAGTGAAGACAAAACGTGCGAGTAGGAATTTATATCACTTAATGATAGTTGTATAATATTTAATAACTATAATAAATTTCATATAAACATCACTAATTATACAACAACAATGTTATTAGTTTGTACCGGAGACTAATTATTGTCGTTAATTTCGAATAAAAAAACCAATTATACAAACCCGTTGATGTCGCTCAGTGACACATCCAGAGTTTTCTGTGATTAAACAACAGCACAAGATGGACCAGCACCATTAATTATTTTTATGTGCTCGCTGGTTGAGGCTGGACCTACTGGATTGCATTTAATTAAACGTCTCTCATCAGCGGCCATAAAAGGCTGCCTTAGGGAAGTTTTTCAGCACTATCAGTATAAACATAATATTTATATTTAAAGTATACTGTTAGTGTTTAAATATATGTATACTGCATAACCTTCACCGTGACCAGCTTCCTAGTTCATGACCATTAACTTACTGTCATATTATGTCATGACTTACAATCTGTACTGTTGAATTTAGTGCCACCTGGGGTCATGCATATTAGATCATTTGTTACTAATTCAACTTGTATTCGCGATACGCTAACAACCCGAGCCATTATATTGAAGACCAGTTTGTAATAATGAGTCCAGTCTCTCTACGTAGTCCTCCATCTTTCTGCTTATCACAGGTCGATAAAACACAATCTAAGAGTATCAACCCCATGACCTACGATGCCCTACATACCTTCCCTTCATACCTTCCCTCCACACTTTCCCTCCACACTTTCCTTCCATACCTTCCCTTCATACCTTCCCTCCACACCTTTCCTCCACACCTTCCCTCCATACTTTCCCTCCATACCTTCCTCCATACACCTCCATACCTTCCCTCCACACCTTCCCTCCACTTTTTCCCACACCTTCCCTCCATACTTTCCCTCCATACCTTCCCTTCATACCTTCCCCTCCACACCTTTCCTCCACACCTTCCCTCCACACCTTCCTCCACACCTTCCCTCCATACCTTCCCTCCACACTTTCCTCCATACCTTCCCTCCACACTTTCCCTCCATACCCTTCATACCTTCCCTCCACACCTTCCTCCACACCTTCCCCCTCCATACTCCTCCATACCAGGTGATCAATCTCTTCCCTTTCCATTACCTTTCGTTAATTACACGGTGAATGTGTCGATGAAATCTAGTCCATTATCACCCCCCCCGTTCACTCAATCCCCGGCATTCACCATCAAAGCCATCCCTATCATGTTTCAGTTCCCTTTGGTCGAACGTCCTCACACAACCCCTTCATTCCTCGCACTTATGAACAAGATACTCCCTTTCCTTCCTCTGCTTTACATTATACTGCAATCTACATAGACCTTACCTCTTATCACAGCACTTAAACATACGAATATATATTACTATTTCGTATCAATAGTGAACGAGGAAAGGTTAGCTGTAATATAGGTCACGTGTGTACCTCCTCTACTCCATTACAATGTTAAGAATGAATCATCTGACTCTGGGTTAAGTATTAATGATAAACGATTAATATGTATATTTTAGACGACGTAGTGGTTGTTCTCTCGTAGTGTTACTTATGTTTTGTCTGTGTGTCGGTATATCTGACATGAATCATTTAGGGTGACTATGGAATACGTGTGTGTAAGTGCTCATGCGTTCGCTAGTGGCATACATGATGATATGATGTGTATGTGGTCGTTTAGTCAATGCTTGCAATACGTCTGCCTTCACGTGCGCGTTGGAGCGCTTTTGTGCATGGGAATATGTCTTTACTGAGGCAGGTAAATGCACGGGTAAGCAGGCAGTCAGTGACTTGAAAGCCCCCGGCACTATGACATACACAGCAGGTGCGTGCGTGGGCGACGTGTTAGTTCAGTCAGCCTGTCTGTCACGGTACTGCAGAGGACCGTAGTTGTGCATTATGCTTCTTTACCTTATTATTTATTAAACGTACGACCACGTCACGCGCTATCTGGACACTTATGACATATTTGCCAGCTTTAAATTTGTGGTCTTTTACAGTAAGTGTAACTAAATAAAGTACAGTACAAAGTTCCTGGTCGTCTGGTTGTACTTGATAGTCTTTATTAAGATGATAACAAGACGTGAAGGGAGACATGAGAGGTGCGGTGTACCGGACCTGTTCTGGTAACCTTTGGTCGCCCCTATGGCACATTTTTCTGACCGGACTTATAATGTTCGCAAGTTACAATGATTTTAAAAGTGTGTTTTTTATTTGTTTTATTTTTCTTTCTTTACTATAACTACACCGCGGCGAGACAGGCAGGTCTGGTTCCAACATTCCAGAAGTAAAGGCCAGTAAACGTATCGATCATCACGGCCTACCCTAACCTAGCCTACCCTAACCTGGCCTACCCTAACCTGGCCTACCCTAACCTGGCCTACCCTAACGTAACCTAACCTAACCTGAGCCACAGACAGCCGGGGAAAGCGCTCTTGTACTTGGGCTCTGATACAATAAATATAAGTAAAATTTATCTTAATCAACGACAATTAAGAATATACATTGATTTCTTAAATAACTGAATCTGTGTTATTATAAATCTTCATGCAAAATTTCACACTCAAAATTAAATGTATTGTACATAGTCAAATACTGCCTGATTCGTAAGGCCCGTGGAAGGTGATGTGTGGAGGTCAAAATTCCTTGTAAATCTCCCAAAAGTAAAAATAAATAATGTCTCATACGTCCGGCAGTGCGGCTATGTCCCTCACCAGCCCATCACCCTGAGCGCTGTCAGTGGTCTGTCAGCAACAGTCGTAGGTATGTCATCAGTGGAGAAGAGAGCTAAAACCATTAAATATAATTACTTATCCTCAATAGTAAGCTTATGAAACGAGTGAGAATTTTAAGAGGAGATGATTTGTTGTGGTGGTTGTGAGCCAGCCAGCTGTCAATACGGGCACGCAACTCCTAAAATGAACGACTTCCATCACTGTCTCGCTGGCGAATATGAGTGGATGCCGCTAACGCTACAGATATCCAACTCGCTCCCCTCCTAAGCTGGCTTCACAAGCTGTTGTCATACTGGTCGTCGACCTTACCGTATACTGTGGCTAGACACGTTCTTCCGCCAACTTGCTGCTTAAGCAAAATATGATCGCTTTTATTACAGGAGCAAATAACGGAGGATAACAGAGGAATTTTTTT